CCGTTGGACTAATTGAAGTTTCCGAACAGTTTTCAAAGGCAACCTCACATAGAGCGCATTGCAGTAATCTATTCGGGATGTAATCAAGTTCAATAGTATTCCCTGAATGTTAGTCGGGGAAATATGTTTATGTGTGGCATTTATGATGATAGGGAGATCTCAGGTCAAGGTTTCACTGCTTGGACTTCTTTTCTTTTTCCAATAAATTTTTATTAAAGGTATACAAGTAAATTATAATCCATACGAAAGGGTAGTGATACAAAGAAAAGGGAGAAAGAAGGAGAGAAAAATAACTAAAAAAATTAAATACACTGCTTGGACTTCTTTAACTGGTGTTCCTTAGGACTGAATTTGGATTGTCTGGTTAATATGCATATGATATCCCTCCAAGTTGTAGACCCCAATCTCATTTTTTTGTCATGTCAGGAGCATCCTGATGTGAGAGAATTGGCCGTCTGCAAGGACGTTGCCCAGGGGACGCCCAAATTATTTTGATGTTTTATCATCCTTGTGGGAGGCTTCTCTCATGTCCCRGCATGAGGAGCTGGAGCTGATAGAGGGAGCTCATCTGCCTRTCCCCGGGTTCGAACCTGTGACCTGTCGGTCTTCAGTCCTGCCGGCACAGGGCTTTAACCCACTGCGCCACCYGGGGCTCCTAATCTCATTTCAGTGTGTATGTATAATATATAGATCTCATCTATATGCAGAATAGAAGGGGGATTTGTTGCATATCAGGGCTAAACACTGACCTTTCATATCACCTCAAAAATGATGAGTTAGATTTGTAAAGTTTGGAAAATGCAACAGATAGTAAAAGCCTATTCTCCTTTGGGAGTTCAGTGAGAAAGAGGCCAGCAGAGTTGACTTAATAGCAGTATTTATTGTTAAAGAGTTTATACTCTCAGTCAGGAATGCTAAGATTACTCATTGGAGGATGTTATGTTCAGCGATTCATTTACATTTGACTGTTAAGACGTCCACAGCATCATCTTGGCAGAACTAGTATCTACCATTAATTAGCAAGTCCAAAAGCAAAGAGATGAAGGCAACTGTAATTATAATCATAACTTATCGATGCATTGTTGGATCCCATTTGCTATCAACATTAGATTGCCAGATTTAGATGAATGCCCTTTCCATATCCCCGTTTGAAAGCCTTGGCAGCTAACATGCAATGCTTATTAATTTTCATAACCCCATTAGTTGCTCTTACCACTGTGGTGACGAATCCTTACCTAGAAGAGCAATGAGCAAAACAGATAATGCTAACATATATAGTCTGAATTTCAAAAAGTAGCAGTGCAGATTTTTTAATGGCAATAGTATGCTGAATTCTATATTTACATTTCTCCTTGTTTCTGATAATTCAGCTGAAGACATTCCTATCTGTTTCATTGCTAGTCATTACTTATTGAATTCACCACAACTACTATTAGATACTAGCAAAATTAATGTTTATTGTTTGAAATAAAGGTAGAGTTTTGACACTAAAATATGTAAGCTCCTGTGACGGATGGCAGAGAAAGCTGTACATGGAACACATTGTGAACTGTTCAAACATTTTCTAGAAAACAAGTGTGCTTACATGAATGTAGGCATGTGAACTGAATAATTTATCATCTTTCTGAGTAGAATTGTCAGTTTCTTTCTAACAACAAAGTTACAATGGTTCTTCTTTCCCCATCCCTATTCTTTTTATTTACATAGCATTTGTGGAATTCAGCATCTGGAGCGAGCAGGAAACAAGCTGACTCTCTTTGACTCCCTTTATTTCTGCATAGTGACATTTTCTACTGTGGGCTTTGGAGATGTTACTCCGAAGATCTGGCCTTCGAAACTGCTGGTTGTCATTATGATCTGTGTTGCCCTTGTAGTGTTGCCGATACAGGTAATTTTTCCTCTTAATATAGAAACAATTGAAATAAAATTGTATTGTTTGTAAACATTTTCAATTTTATATCATTTTTCCAAAACAATAATAACTTTATTTGTCATCTGCAAGCTTATAGAGGCAAGTTTATAGAGTCTTCCATAGAGAGCTCAAAAGCTGCCAGTATCCAAAGATTATTTCAAATCTGTATCAGTGTCTTATGTTCAAATCCATTAAGTTCTTGTGTCTTTTTTCTCTTCTGTATGCAAACCATTATTTCTAATTAATGTATATTAATTTTAGTATATTTATTCATTTTATTAATATATTTACTGTATTTTTATCCCACCTTTCATGCCCCAAGGGGCTTACAGCTTGGCACAATTTGATACCACTTTGAAATATACACTAATTTATCTTTGTTTGTTTCCCAACATGCCACTCTTTCACATGATATAACTATAAGCACTATAATTCCACTTTAGGTGCCATGACTACATCCTATGGAATTCTGCGATAGGCAGTTTAGGAAGGCATTTTATCTCTCCAATCTACAAGCCTTAGGACTCCATTGGAGGTTCTCATGGTAGCTAGTGGGTAGTAGGCATGGTTTGGTCCAGTTGGAATCTTTGTTATTCAAAATAAAGTTGGAAAAATTTCCTTTTTGAAGCTATTTTAAAGTTTTTAATAAAACCGGAAGTCTCTTTGCCCTTCTGAAGCTTTTTTGCCATTTTTGTTACGGCTCATGAAGTGAATCAGAAATTATTCAGCTTTTCCCCACTTCTGGTCCCTGGCCTCGGCTCAAGCCAGGGAAGCCAATTTTAAAGCCAGAGAAGCGAGTTTTAATCCAGAGAAGCATGAATTTGCTCCGCTTCTGTCTTAAGACAGAGAAGCAAGCCCATTTTAAAACCAGAGAAATGAGTTATAAACCAGAGAAGCGAGTTATAAACCAGAGAAGCATGACTTTGTTCCCCTTCTGTCTCAAGCCAGAGAAGCAGAGCAAATTCATGCTTCTCTGATTTATAACTCACTTCTCTGGCTTGAGATGGAAGCGGAGCAAATTCATGCTTCTCCAGTTTACCTGTCTGAACATATCTCCCCTTATGAACCACTGAGGACTTTAAGATCATCCGGTGAGGCCCTGCTTTTGGTCCCGCCTTCGTCACAAGCACGTTT